AAATTTTAAAGATTTTAATGGATCTTTTTTATATTTAGAAGATTAGAACTTTAATGTAGAATCTTAAATGTCTTTACATTCGCAATTTCTATTGTATGTAATCCGTAAAAGCTTTTATTTTTTTTAATCTTTCAAACCACTGGGAACTTTGGAACAGTGGAATCCAGAAATGCAGACAAAAAGCTAAAACTAACATTACCCACGTCCGCTTTTGAATTTCATTGGTTTTTTGATCAGATGAAAACTCAATTTAATTTTGTCAAGTGGTCGAATCCATGCTTAAAAAAATTCGAAGTGGCCCCGCCCACGCACCCGGTTTCCCTCCTGATCACTCATTCTGTTGGACAACAGGGGAATTTTATAGTCATAAACAACGAAATCTAGACAAAAAACGTAAAACTAATCCCGCCCACCACCGCTCTTGAATTTGATTTTTTTTTTATTAGATGAAGACTGAATTTTACTACGTGAAGCAGGGAATTAGACCTAAAAAATTCAAAATGGCCCCGCCCACCCACCCGGTTTCTTTTTGGTCATTCATTTCATTGGACAAAAAGTGCATTTTATATTGAACAACAGTGTAATCCAAATAAAAACCTAAAATTAACCTCACCCATCTTCGGTTTTGAATTTCATCGGCTTATTTCATTAGATGGAAATTTTATTTTATTTTGTCACCGAATCTAGATATTTATAAAAATTCAAAGTGGCCCCGCCCATCCACCCGATTTTCCTCTTGATCACTCATTTTATTGGACTAAAAGAGGGTTTTATATTGATAAACATTGGAATCTAGACGAAAAGGTAAAACTAACGTTTATACGTTTTTAATCTTTGAGACCACTGGAAACTTTAGAATCTCTGATTTTCATTATTTTTTGATATTTCAGTATCTCTAGAATTTTAAATATTTTTAGATCTTTAGGATTTTTATTATCTTTCCAACTCTTAAATATTTGGAATTTGGAATTTTTGAAATCCCAAAAGTCCCTTTAGAATTTTTAAATTGCTGGCTTCTCTAGTTGTTTTTATTTAATTTTTTGAAATTTTTCAAATCCTTGTTAATTTTATAAAAGAAAAACTGACAGCACTGCACGCACCAAAATAAAACAAATAAAAGAAAAATCCATTAAAGCATAACCAACTAAACATTAGAGAAGATGTTCAAAATTCCTGCCTTGTGCAATAAGTAAGCTCGTAATCATTTTTTGTAAAAGTAAGCGAAGTTCAGCTTTTTTCTAGTTCTATGAGCAAACGTAGCCCCGCCCACCCACCCTTCATCATTCCAGCGACCACTCTTAATATTGTTCAGTTCTATCTTAGCAAGTTTTAGCCCCGCCCACCCACCCTCTCTTTTTTTAGAGGGTATGTGGTTTGCCAAAATCAGTGTTATCTTAGCAGGTACTAGCCCCGCCCTCCCGTCCTCTCTTTTCTTAGAGGATATCTCATTTACCAGAATCAGTCTAACGATAACAATTACTAGCCCCGACCCCCACCCTCTAGACCAATCAAATCAGTGGGTGGGTGGGGCTAGTACCTGCTAAGACACCACTGACTTTGGCAAATAACATATCCCCTAAGAAAAGACAGGGTGGGTGGGCGGGGCTAGTACCTGCTAAGACAACACTGACTTTGGCAGATGACATACCCTCTAAGAAAAGAGAGTGTGGGTGGGCGGGGCTAGTATCTGTTAAGATAAGACTGATTTTGGCAAGTGAGGTATGATTTAAATAACGTATCCTAAGAAATTTAATTAAGTTATTATAAGAAAAGACACTAGAGGCTCCAAAGCACTTTCAAATTCTTTTCAAACAGGAATATCTAGGAGAAGATTGTTTTAAATTTTTCAAAATTGACTCAAAAACAGGTCAGCTCAGAATTTTCCAAAGATATAACACCAAAGTCTCCCCAAATTCTTTTAATCAGTTTAGAAAAAAATCTCCATGGGCTGCCCAAACAATACACGATGACATTTAAAGCTCAGTAGATTTTTTCAGGTTCATCCAGCAACAAAGCACCGTAATTTTATCAAATTATTATTACAAAAACAACACAACCATATCTTTGTACATTGTAACTGAAAAGGTAATTAAACATGGTCATGGCCAGAATAATTTGACAAAATATTTTTATTTTTTTAAGTCGATTTCAAATAAATAAAACTCGTGAACTATGCTTGTGAATTTAAAAGACAGATGAATAACACGTAAACATGGTTTCGGTCCTGACAGTGGATGTGATAATCTGGAGTTCACTTCCTAAGTTCCTAACATTAACTGAGTTGCTTATCTGGCAATATCCATGTGACAAACGACTGAATTAGACTAGAACTAGCTCATATGTGCGAAATGAATCAATTGTAACTAATCTGAATCAGATAGCGAATAATTGGAAAAATTATAAAGAACTGGGAAATACTATAGACTTTTATGCAGACTTGTTTTTTTAAAAGGCCTAGTTGACTGGTATTGGATATCACAATTCCAGATTCAACAGGCACCGGGATAGCGAGTGACACGGATGATAATCCAGATTCCGTAAAAATCGTAAGCTGAGTGTAGTGCGATTACTCATACAAAAGGCTTTGACATGACAGCGAAAGTTTTAAATCGACAAAAATTCATGGAGTTGTGTTATCCATATATTCGGTGATACACTACACAACATAAAAATACCGAATAATGTCAAATTAGAAATCAAACATTTTGAAACGAAATTTTAAGTCCATTTTTAAAGGGCTAGGTTGTGTTTACAGAAGGGATTGCCGCTTCCCGCATTTGCTGTAATTTTATGTTAAAATTGTTTAATAATTCAAAATGTACCAGTACAGAATGCTCGATTAAATTACGTAGAATATTTTCTTATTGTTTGTTTTCTTTTACTTTCTAACGAAATGAATGAATTTTGAAGAAGTGATAATTCATTTATTTTAGAGTTCGCGTCAATAAAGTCTTATTAATTATTAGTATTATCATTGCTTTGATTTGTATTTTGACAAAATACGGGCGGGACGTTCTCTATAGAAAACCGCGTCAGTGAGCAAAGGTTCTTATTGTTCATTAAGTTTGGAAAGCGCGAAGTCGGTATTGTCGAAACCAGAGAAAGATAAAGAGAGAGACAGAGAGAGTGCAGAAGAGAGTTCTAAGTTCTATTTTCGCAAGTTGCAACAGTTCCACAACACAGCAATAAAATTATTCCCTATCATTGGGCAAAACGCCACCGTCCAATAAAACCTCATTGCGTCGAGTTTAGTCCTTCTGCGGTTTCATTTTCTCGATATCCACACACTCCGAAACTCGTGAAATAGCAATTAGTACAAGTTTTAATTAAAAATTTCGCATTTCGCGTTTCCAGAAAAACATCCGCCAACCTTAAAATAAATTAATTAATTTCTAATTTAAATCCACTGCTGTTTTCTACCACTTCACCGCATGTTTTTCATTTTAAACAACGCAAGATTTCGGCTTTTATAATTCAATCGGCGAAATTATGTGGAAGAGTGGAGGCGTTCTCTCAAACAAATCTCCTAGTTTAATATAAATGACGCGCTTAACTTTTATTGGAAGTGAATTGATCGGAAGAGTAACTAATGTTTTGGGCGGGATTGAATGTCGGATGCCAGATTTAAGCTCTGGGATGGGGTTTTTTGACGGAGGGACTAATTTATTTGTCGGTGATTGTGCGAAATGCGGTTTCGGACGGAATGTGCCACATTTCGCTGAATACTAAACAATTTTATGCTGTCATTTACGCGTAAACATTCCGAAATTCGAGGTGGGGCTTCAACCCTCACGCAAACCGACAATGCAACCCCCGAAGCCACTTAATTACGGAACACCGTGATATAGCGGAATGGATGCTAGATGTAGGTAATTAATAACAGTCTGGCGATTTTTCAAGTCGTCTTTTGTTGAACCGAAAACGCGTTTTTTAGGAATGTTATTTCAGGCTCTCGTCGAACTAATTAAAAATGTGCGAATTTTCGTGGCGCCAGACTTGCCAGTGTTGACACAAGTTAGCAAGAGTCGTCTCACTCGATGTGGTTGTTTGTATTAAAAGCAAACTTTAAACAGTTTATGCAAGTTTAACCTTAATTATTCATGAATTCTTAGTTAAGAGGTAAGGCTCGACGCAATTCATATTTATAAGGAAAACGAAGCAAAACTTACAGTTCCACGGAATTATACGAATTCAAACAGGTACAATGTGAGTCGAGACAAATAACTCAATTTGACTGAGCTGCTCTTGCTCGAACAAATTTCCAGAAACAGCAGCAAGACAAGAGACGGGGCTTCGTCAGAATTGTTAATTAGTTACAACAAAAAATTATTTTGTTTTTGCGTCGTGTTTTCCTGTTGGCAGCGTCGAAAGTTTACCAAAGAGAGTTTAGCTGAACTTTTTTCATATTAAGTTAAAAAAGTTGAATACTTTGTGTCGTGGACAATGAGAGCCGGTTGGATGGATTTCAAATGCGAATGCCGGTTAGGAGAGCTTTTTGCGGAGCTTTTTTCGCGCCGAGGTAAAATGAAAAGGTCGGCTGCGCTTTAAAGGGAGTGATGATTACACTTAACGAAAACGGCGCCATATTACGATGTGTTTCTCACAGATAATGTCATTTAACTCCCACGCAATCCATTCATCCACGTAGAAACATATCTCGAGTGTCTGAACTTCGAAGAAGCCAAAATTCTTAGCAAAACTTTTTTCATATCGAGTTAAGGAAGTTGCAAACTTTGTTTCCTGCCGTAGTTGGTTATATATCAAATAACAAACTCGATGAATAAAATACCTGTTACATGTTTCTTGCCGAAATTGAAGAAACAAAAACGCGCCTTTCGCTTTTATTGGAACAACGCGAAAATATCGCCGAGCTTTCACTAATAAAACTACTTTCCACTTCGTCTTATTACACCTCGAATTAAAAATGATGATAGTGTTAAACACTCGACTTCGCTCTTTTGAGGTAAGCGTTTAGTTTTAACCGTTGAACTGTCGCTCACCTATCCTCTCGTAGCTTTCTCTCCCAGCGGCCGCCACGAGGATGAATCCTTGGAAATAAACCCACCACATGCTCACTACAACACCGTCAAACTTTCACTCACTGTCAAAGTAAATTTTCCAAATTTCTTCGAGTGTTAATCGCGCGGAAAAATCAGTGGAAACAACACTCGCGCTATCCTCTCGGTAAACATGTTAAGATTGTCGACTCGATCTAGATCGTCGATCCGCGATTGTCGAGCGTCATCAGAGCGTCGCCGGCGTCGGATATCAACTGAAATGCCGGAATCATCGTCGAAACGACGCGTCGCGACGCCCTACACTACGCTTGTGCGAAACTCGGGTTATGATTTACTGGCAATTTCTTAATTGCCCTTTGGAAATGTTTTAAATCAATACGGTTTTGTGGCCTTTTGTGGACCGGGAAAAAGATATTCTCGTACTTAGGGGGAAAAACCGAAGTTGTTGATGTTTGTATGATGTCGGTTTGTTGTTTGGTCGTAGTTTCTTTTCAATCTGGATTTTCGGGCTTGTTTGTTAATAATTTTAACGAAATATTTCAATTTCTAACGAATTATGTTTTCAACAAACCTATTGTCGTACCGTTACACCTAAGCTCCAGTTATTTTAATGTGAGTCATTTCAAGTCCAACTTTAGCAATTCCGGGCCCAAAGTATTTGCTTATAAAACGCCATTTCTCTCTCGTCATAAACGGTTAAGTCGAAGACATGACAAAAACATTTCTTTATCGCAGCCAGGACTTTCAACAAGGAATGAAGAACAGGAAAATCTAAACACTCGAAGGTCAAGAAATGGGAAAATCAAAACATGGATTAATTGAAAAATCGAAAAATTGAGAGTTTATGAAAGTCAAAATAGGAAAATTAAAAAATCGAAAATTTGACAAAATGACAATTGAAGAAAAACAGAAAATCTAAAACCGGGAAGTCGAAAAATCAAAAGATTAAGAAATCGAAACATTTGAAAAATTCGAGAACTTGAAAAATTCAAATATCGAAGAACTGAACTGAAAAATCCAGGAGTCAAAAATCGAAAAGTCGAAGAATCGAAATATTGAAAAATCCCAAAACTGAGATATCGAAAAACTGAAAAATGAAAGAAAAACTGAGAATCTAATAAACCTGAAAAATCCGAAAACTGAAATATCCAAAAACTGAGAACCTAAAAAGTCGAAAAATTGAGCAATCGAAAAATCCAAAAAAAAGACTCTAAAGACTTCAAAGACTCTAAAAACTCTAAACACCCAAAGATTCCAAAGACTTAAATATTCTAGAAACGCGAAAGATGTTAAAGATTCCAAGACTTCAAAGACTCTGAAAACTCGAACAACTCTAGAGGCCCTAAAGACTTCAATACTCTAAAACGCTCAAGCTGCTAAAGATTACACTAACTACAAAAACTTAGAAGATTCTAAAAACTTCAAAGACTCTAAAAATTCCAAACACTCCAAAAATTCCAAAGATTACAATGATGCTAAAAAGATGCTAAAGATTTTAAACATCTTGAACATTATAAAGATTCTAGAGATTCTAGGTATTCTGTAGATGCTAGAGATTATGGATTTTGCAGTTTCAAGGAATTCAAAGGATTCAAATCGTTCAAAGGATTCAAGTAGTTCAAACGTTTAAAAAAGACTGAATTGATTCTAAAGGATATGAAAATTCACGCGAGTTTAATGATTATGATTCTGTGAATTCTAAGAATTCGGAGGATTCCAATGATTCCAAAGATTGCAAAGATTCAACGACTCAAATTATTGGAAGGATTCGAAAGAATCATCGAATTCATAAGATTCTAAAGACAACGACGATACGAAGATTGCAAGGAGTCGAAGGATTCCCATGATTCAAAGGATTAAATTCTGAGGATTACAAGAATTCCAAGGGTTTGAAGGGTATGAAGTATTTCAAAGATTTTAAAAAATCCAGAGGATTAAAAATGACCAAAGAATTCAAAGGATTCCAAACATTCAAAGGATTCTAAAGAATTCCATGGATTCCAAGGATCCTAGAGACTTGAAAGTTTCTAAAGATTCTAAGAATTTAAAAAATTCAAGATTCAAGCCATCCAAAGGATTAAAAGGATTCGAAAGATTGAAAGGATTCTTAAGATTCCAAAGATTTCAAATATTGTAACGAATCAAAGGATTCAAACAGTTCAATTGTAAGGGTTCTAAGGTTCTAAATCATTCAATTTATTAAAAGGATTCAAAACATTCCAAGAAATTAAAGAATTCATAGCAGTCAAAAGAGTGAGAGGATTCAAAGGAATTTAAAAAATATAAAGATTTTGAGAATTGTGATGATTCTAAGGATTGGAAGAATTCCAAGGATTCCAAGTGTTATACAGATTTTAAAAAACCTAAGGATTGTAAGAACTCTTAAGTTTTCAAAGTATTATCAAAGGACTCTAAAGATTCCAAGAGTCTTAAGGACTACGTTTCAAAGATTTTAAAGATTCGAAGGACACCAAGAATTCCAAGTACATATTCTGAAGATTCCAAGGATTCCAGAAATTCTAAAGAATCTAAAGATGTTAAAAATTGAAAGAATTTAAAAGAATTCAAAATTCTAAAGATGATTAAGATTCTTATTATTCTACGAATTCGAAGGCTAGAAAGGATTCCAGGAACGGTGAGGATTTTAAGAATTTCAAAGATTCCGAAAATTTCAAAAATTCTAAAAATCTATGGATTCTGAAGATTATAAGGGTTCACAATATTCAAAGGAATCAAAAAAATCCAAGGGTTATGAAGATTCTAGCGATTTTAAAAATTCGAAGACGAATTCAACGGATTGCGAAAATTCCAAGTACTCGCTTCCGACGGTTCCAAGGATTCCAAAGATTCGAAAGGTTCTAGAGAATCTACAGATTCTTAAGCATTCTAAATATTGTAACGATTCAAAAGATTCATAGAATTGAAAGCAGTCAAAGTATTGTAAATATTATTAAAATTCTGAGGATTTTAAGGATTGGACGCATTCAAAGAACTCCAAGGATAAAATTCCAAGAAATACACGGATTTCAAGGATTCCAAGAATTTCAACGATTCAATGAATTGCGGGAATACCAAATATTGCTAGGATCCCAAAAATTCTAAGTAATTCAAGGATTCTAAAGATTCAGTGCTTTCAAAGTATTCTAAGTATACGAAGGATTCAACGGTTTTGAAGGATTCCTAAGGTTTCAAGGATTCAAAGAATTCTAAATATGATTCAAGATTCTGTCTATTGTAAGTATTCGAAGGATTCTAAACATTTTAAGGGGGCAGTATATTCAGGATTAAAACAATTCTAAGAATTATGAAGATTTTGAAGATTCTGAGGTTTCTGACGATTCTAAAAATTTCAAGGACTACATGGATTCGAAAGATTGTGAAATTTTCAAGACTTCGAAGTATTCCGGGGATTACAAGGATTGGAAAGATTCTAGTGATTCCACGCACTCCAAACACTTCAAGCAATCTAAAAATTCCAAAGATTCCAATGATGCCAAAATGATGCTAAAGATTCTAAATATTTTGAACATTATAAAGATTCTAGAGATTCTAGATATTCTGTAGATGCTAGAGATTATAGAGATTCTAAAGATTCTAAGAAGATTAAGGATTTTACAGTTTCAAGGAATTCAAAGGATTCAAAAGATTCAAAGGATTCAAATGGTTCAAAGGTTTCGAAGGAGTGAATTGATTCTAAAGATTATGAAAATTCTGAGGATTTTAAGTTTTCCAAGGATTTTAAAGATTACAAAAATTTTAAATATTCTAAGGGTTCTAAGGATTCAAAGCATTTAAAAGATTCAAAGCATTCTAAGTATTCCAAGAATTCACGCGAGTTTAATGATTATGAATCTGTGGATTCTAAGAATTCGAAGGATTCCAGTGATTCCAAAGATTGAAAAATTCTCAATAAATCAGGATTGAAAAATTAACAAATCGAAACATTTGAAAAATTCGAAAACTTGAAAAATTGAAATATCGAAGAACTGAACTGAAAAATCGAGAAATCGAAAAATTTAAAATTTTAAAAATTAAAAAATCTAGAATCGAAAAATCGAAAAATTGAAAAATCGAAATATTGAAAAATCCCAAAACTGAGATATCAAAAAACTGAAAAATGAAAGAAAAAGTGAGAATCTAATAACCTGAGAAATCCGAAAACTGAAATATCCAAAAACTGAGAACCTAAAAAGTCGAAAAATTGAGCAAATTAAAGAATTGAAGAACAGGAACATCGAAACCCTCGAAAGTCAAGTAATGAGAAAATCAAAACATCGATTATTTGAAAAATCAAAAATTGACAGGTTAAATGTCAAATTTCAAAAATTGAAAAATCGAAAATTTGAAAAAACAACAATGAAAACCAAAAAATCTAAAACCGGGAAGTCAGAAAATCGATAGATTAAGAAATCAAAACATTTGAAGAATTCGAAAACATGAAAAACGGAAATATGGAAGAACTGAAATGAAAAATGGAGAAATCGAAAAATCTAAACTTTTAAATATTGAAAAATTAAAATATCAAAAAACTGCAAAATCCAAAATTTAAAAATCGAAAAATTGAAAAAACTACAACTGAAAAATAGAAAATCTAAAACCGGGAAGTCGAAAAATCGAAAAATTAAGAAATCCAAACATTTGAAAAATTGAAGTATGGAAGAGCTGAAATGAAAAATCGAGAAATCGAAAAATCTAAAATTTTAAACAATTAGAAATTAAAATAACAAAAAATTGAGAAATTTAAAATTTAAGAATCGACAAAGTAAAAAGTTGACACGTCGAAAATTCAGAAGTCAAAAATGGAAAATTTGAAGAACAGAAATATTGAAAAATTCCAAAACTGAAATATCGAAAAACTGAAAAATGAAAGAAAAACTGACGAATCGAAAAACTGAGAAATCGAAAAATCCAAAATTGGGGAATTGAAAAAAGAGAGAAATGTAAACATCTCAAAATTTAAAAACCCGAAAAATCAAAATTTCGAAAAATTGAAAACTTAGAATATCGATAAACCGAAACATCAAAAAAGAGAAAAATCTAAAATTTAGAAATTGAAAAAGTAAAAAATTGAAGAATCGAAATATTGAAAAATTGAAAAAATAGAAAACTAAAAATCGAAAAATTACAAAAACTAAAAAACAGAAATCGAGAAATCGAAATATCTAAAAGTCGAAAAACAGAGAAATTGAAAAATAGAAAAATCAAAGAATTGAAAAAGAGGGAAATGGAAGTTGAACAATCGTCAAATCGAAAATTTACAAAATTTAAAAATTGAAAAACTGAA